TTAAGATTTAAGATTTAAGATTTAAGATTTAAGATTTAAGATTTAAGATTTAAAATTTAAAATTTAAGAATTAAGATTTAAAATTTGAGATTTTCTATTTTAGATTTTAGATTTAAGATTTTAGATTTAAGATTTAATATATTAGATTTTATACTTATGATTTTAAGATACGGAACTAAGATTTAAGGATTTAAGATTTTAAGATTTTAGATCAAAAACTACTTCAATAATAATTGAGTTCAACTTTTTTTCTAAAAACCCGCTATCTGTGAACTTTTGATTTATTTTTTGGACCGTAGGTCATTGTATAGGCAATAACTTCTAATAGACAGTTTTTAGTTTTTTTGGGTTACAATACAATGGGTACAAATATTTAAGTTATTTTGGTTTAATTATCACACTCGATAATGGCTTTAAACTTATTATAATAAGTTTATTTGTAAGTTAAATGCTTAGCGCAATTTTAATTAATATTAATTAATAAAATGTGACAATAATTACACAATTACTTCTCAATAATTTCATAAGTAATTTCAAATAAATAACTCTCCTTTTAATTGAAATTGCATATATATTTACATACAAAAACATTTATTCTTTAGTGCATATATTTTAATTTCTTTCAAAGAATTTGCCAGGAATTTCACATTCTCAATTTAGACAAACTCATAAAAAGCATATTTCTATTACATAGTTATACGAGTATATAGACATAGAAGATAATATTACATATTCGCACAGAATTTTATATTCTTCTTGAGAATGTTTGGTATATTACCAAGAAGTAATCAATTACCTTTGGTTGGTTAGGTGAAGTAATTTGCAAATAGTAAATTAAACGTCATAATTGTTAAATTATAAATACGAAAATATTTTGGATTAAGACTTCAGATATTTATTTACAGCATATAAGTTCAAAATATAATATATAGGTATTTATTTTAATGTACAAATATATTTGCAAAAGAAGGTAAATATTTGTAAAGAACACTTAGAGGTTAGAACTAAGTTATGATACACGTAAATATATATTCTTGTATATATATATATATATATATATGTATTTATATGTATTTCCTCTTTGTAGGCGTAAAATAATATGTACACGATTGTACTCAATTATTTTCCGCAATATTAAGACATAGGGAACCCTCGTTTAGCTTTGACTTGTAATTATTTGATTTAAACACTTTTGCCTCTATCAACTCTATTAAAAATCAAAATACTTACTACATTTTCTAACTATGCATGCTCTTCGATGACTTCATTAGCATCGAATGGTAGGAGAGTATGTAGAGATGAGTTTCCAACGTTTTATGTTCAGATTACTATACTTAAAAGAAACTTTTTCAGTACAGTAATGCTCGGAGGATAGTTTTTTGTATGCAATAGTGGAAATTACACTATAATACACAAAATTTTAGAAGTTGAGATTTCTATTACCCTCAACAGAAGACAAAGCAAGAGTATAAAAATACGCAAAAAATAAAATTATTTGCAAATAACTGCTGTGGATATCATGAATATCAAGAATTTAGGAAATATATGTACATACACATATATACATATTTACACAGTAAATACACACAAATATATCTAAAAATATCTCTACCGCAAGTATATCTAGCCTGTTATCTTGCAGAAGGTATTATAAATAGTGCATGTGTTGCAGCTTACTAACTCATAAAATGTGTTGCATGACAGGAAATCACAATGCCAATACACAACAATATGCATACATGTATATAAACAAATTATATAAATACAAACATACAAGTATATATAAGGCAAATAAATGCAAAGCGAAACAATTGCGAGTGTGACCGACCACCAAAACAAGTGTGCGGTTGCCGTGTTGCAAGACTTGTGGCACATTTGAGTTATACCGTTTGGAGCGGGACAGTGAGTGGACCGACGCACGAGTTGAATTTCAAATTAATAACAAACGACAACACGCAGAAATGAAAAGCAAATAAAATGGTCCGCAGTGACAAAAACTTGGCGGTTTTTTTGGTACGATGACTGGCTGATGGCGTTGTACTTGCCCTCGGTAAACCAAAAGGAAAAAGCAAGAATTTATAAAAACTTGGAATAAATTTTGGAAATCAACAATCATATTTCCCAAGTTGAAAAAGCCAAACTCAAACACAAACTATATATTGGTTAACATACATAACATATACATATGTATTTGTTTGCTGGTGCATATGTATGCGTTTGAGTGCAATGTGGCTTGCTTATGAGTGTAAGGTTGTGTGTGTGCATAGCAGCTTTATATGTTTTAAATTTATGCTCCCAAAGAGATAAACCGCGTCGTGCTTGTTTTTGTTTGCGTTTGAGAATTTACACGAAAATGCGAATTGAAAAGCAACAACTGTAACGAATATTTTTTACTGGTCACAAGAAAGCAAGAAGACAAAAAGAAAAGAAAATCATAAAAACAAAAACCAAAAATTGGAAACTCCAAATTCAAGCACACTTATAAAGTGAGCGGAAGCAGAAAGCAAAGCTAAAGTTTTGCAAATTTTTTTTTTATGATTAAGCTTAGGATATTTTGGGTTAAGACTTAAAGCATTTCATGTAGATTAAAATGGGCAATACAGCATAAAAGTCGGCTAATAAAA